CTGCTTGGCATCTAGTAAAACCACTGCTACTCATGAAACTATCGAACTTCTTGTACCACTGTCTAGGAGCTTGTTTTAAACCATACAAGCTCTTATTCAACCTGCATACCAGGTTTTTCTTGTCTGCCTCTATGAAGCCTTCTGGCTGCCTCATATAGATTTCTTCCTCCAAATCACCATGAAGGAAAGCTGTCTTTACATCTAACTGCTCAATATGTAAATTCTCTGCAGCTACAATTTTCAACACCAGTCTGATTGTAGACAGTTTCACGACTGGAGAGAAAATTTCATTATAGTCAATACCTTCTTTTTGCTGAAAACCTTTGACAACCAATCTCGCTTTGTAGCGTTTGCTCCTATCGTGCTCTTCTTTGATCCTGTAAATCCACTTGTTGTGAAGCGCTTTCTTCCCTGGTGGTAATTCAGCTAATTCCCACGTCTGATTTGACAAAAGCGAGTCCATCTCATCTTTCATGGAAGACTCCCACTTGACTGAATCCTCCACTTGCATTGCTTCATCATAGCACTCTGGTTCACCATTGTCAGTCAGCAACAAGTAGTGCAAAGAATGAGAATACCGTTGGGTTGGTTTAGGAATTCTGGAGGAGCGTCTTAGTTCTGGTGTGCCTGGTTCTTCTTAAACTACTTCAGGACTGATCTGAACATCATTTCCAGAAATCTCCTCAAACTCAACAAATTCCTTTGTTTCAGCTTTGGTATTGGAGCTGCTTGATTCTACAGTTGACCTGTCTTTGTACATCACATTCTCATTGAAAATGACATCTCTGCTTCTAATGATCTTCCGATTTTCATAGTCCCAAAACCGATAACCGAACTCATCACCGCCGTATCCAACAAAGGCACATTTGTTGGACTTAGCATCAAGTTTACTTCTTTCAGCAAAGTCTATGTGTACATAAGAAATACAACCAAACACTCTTAAGTGTGAAAGGTTTATTTATTTCTTGCTCCAAACTTCCTCTGGTATTCTGCCATCCAAAGGAACTGAGGGCCCACGGTTGATCAGGTAAGCTACAGTGTTAATAGCTTCAGCCCATAGAAATTTGGGCAATCCGGCATGTATCCTCATGCTTCTGGCACGTTCATTCAGAGTTCCGTTCATGCGCTCTGCTACGCCATTCTGCTGCGGTGTCATGGGATCTGTTGTCTCCATCTTGATCCCATTGTTTGCGCAAAAATCTCTGAATCTCCTATTTCTGTACTCTCCTTCATTGTCAGACCTCAACCGCTTGAGTTTCAGACCATTCTCATTTTCCACCATGGCCTTCCATTTTCTGAAGGTATCAAAGACTTCTGATTTTTTCTTCAGAAAATAAACCCACACCTTCCTTGTAGAATCATCGATGAAGGTGACATAATATAATGAGCCTGCAAGAGATGGAACTGGAGATGGTCCCCATACATCAGTATGAACTAACTCTAACTTTTCAGCCTTGGGTGTCTTACCAATCTTTGCAAAGCTGACTTTCTTTTGTTTGCCAAAGATGCAATCCTCGCATAGTCCGATATCTACATTCTTTAGATCCGACAGCTTCCCCTTTGACAAAAGTGTCTTCATCCCTTTCTCGCTCATATGGCCAAGCCTTTGGTGCCATAGGTTTGATTTTCCATCAGCATCTGCTACTGCAATGATATTCTCTAAATTTGAGGTTACATAGAGAGTATCAGTCTTCTTACCACGAGCAATGACGAGTGCTCCTTTGGTAATCTTCCATTCACAACCTGAAAAGGTTGTACTGTATCCTTCTTCATCAAGTTGTCCTACAGAAATCAAATTTCTTTTGAGACCAGGAATATGTCTCACTCCTGTCAGCTTCCAGGTGGTCTGGTTTGGCAGCTTTAGTCGGATGTCTCCTTTTCCGACGATCTTCAAGGTTTCATCATCAGCAAGATGAACCTTCCCAAAATCACCACTGACATAGTTCTCCATGATTTCTTGGCATGGCGTGGAGTGGAAATATGCCCCTGAATCCAAAATCCATGATTCAATCGGACTGTTGACGCTTAAAATCATGGCATCACCTGTCTCCTCCGTCATGTTGGCAGATTCCTGTGCGCCGGTATTTTTCTTCGATGCTCGGCAATCTCTTTTGAAGTGGCCCTTCTTGCCACAATTATAACAGGTAAAATCTTTATTTCCTGTTCTTGATTTTCCCCTTCTGGATTTCGATCTGCCACGATTTGAATTTCTTTCTGAAGTTCTCCCTCTGGACTCCGTGTGCAAGGCTGAGGAGGTTGATGCTTCATCTGATTCTCTCCGTCGAATTTCTTCGCTCAGTACCAGATCCCGAACATCGTCGAATTTAATTTGCTGTTTCCCGACGAACTGCTGACTACTGTAACAATAGCATTCCAACTGTCTAGTAAAGATGATAAGAGAATTAAAGCTCGAACTTCATCATCAAATTCAATTTCTACTAAACTCAACTGGGTTATGATTGTGTTGAGTTTATTTAGGTGTTGTGCCACCGATGCCCCTTCCGTCATCCGCAAATTGAATAATCGCCTCATCAAATGACCTTTGTTTGAGGCCGATGGCTTCTCATACATACTGGAGAGAGCCGTCATAAGACCCGCCGTGGTCTTTTCCTTTGCTATGTTGAAAGCAACATTGCGGGATAACGTCAGTCGGATAACTCCGAGGGCTTGTCTATCGAGAAGAGCCCAGTCTTCATTCTTCATGCCCTCTGGTTGTTTTCCTGAGAGGGGTTGATATAGATTTTTCTGGTTTCGTTTGGATCGTTTCTAACAATTTTTGCGAACCGCCGTGTATTAGAACACCTCCGTCGACAAACTCGTATCGCCGACCGAATTTCACTATTCACGAAATTCACTATTCATATGAATAGTAACCTGAATAGTAACCTCGCAAAAAATTGACAAAATTCACAACCCAAAAGCTCTGATTACCAGTTGTTGGGAAATAAACCAAGTACAAGTAATTTCACTATAACCAGATTAGTGAGAATGCAAAATAAAAGCGGAACAATAATACCCGAAATTGATAACGGAGTTCAGCCAATTGTGCTTACGTCTCCGGACTGCTGCATATCTTTTACTAAGAGAGAAAATTTACAGGTGTTTACAAAACACTCACTACTCACAAGAAAACTCTCTAGTATTGGGAGAAAGAAATGATTTTTGGGATAGTTTTGAAGCTAAATGAGCTAGGGTATTTATAGTTGAAACTTAAGGACTTAATCTTGTAAATACCCTAAAACCTAGGGATTAATTGTGATTATCCCATTATCATTTTTTCAACAAACATCTACCAAACTTTGAAAAACTATTTTTCAAAGAAACATTTACCAAACTTTGAAAACCATTTTTTCAAAGTTGGTTACCAAACTTGAAAACCATTTTAATACTTTCAACATTAACATGTTATTAATGAATTTTATCAATTAATTATATTTATTTTATTAAAAACATGCCATTAGTTTTATTTAATAATTAAAGGTTGTTTGTACCAATAAATTGTCCTTTTCTACCAGTGGAAGACAAAGTAGGTTAATCCCTTTTTATAGTACGAGATGTGCCCCTTGGTTACAACACAAAGGAAGCAACTTTAAGTGTTATATAATATAGATTGGGATACATAACAGATAGAAAAGAAAATAGGAGAATTGTTCGAGATCAAAATCAGATTCTAATATTAATCAGGATTAAAATATATTTTGATAATTATAAAATTAAATGTTTATAAATTGAGGGCTTAGTCATATTTAATTTGTGTAACAATTTTTAAGTATGTTTTACACATGTACGATTCAAATTTAAGGATTTATATAATCTTTAAATTAAATTAATTCAAAATTCAAAATTTTCATGTTCCTTTAAATAAAGTATTATTAGTTTAATTGACATCGTATAATTCTATGTATGGTCAATAAAAAATAAAAACAACACTCATTTATTATTAAATTTATGAAAAGATTCAAACAAAAAAACTATCTGATATATAGACTATAATAAAATACAAAATTATAATTAAAACATTTTATATTTAAGCCTATCATTACATAGAGAATCAATTGTTGTAATAAAGTTTACTGCCATATTTAGTAATAAAATGTTTTGTACGTAGGATTGAGTTCCAAATTTTATGTTAGGGGATTAAACTAAATTATTAATAAAAAATAAATAGAAATTTAAAATATTTAGGATGAATATCCTCCATCGTCCTCCTTTTAGTCCATACATATAGAATCCTCAAAGCACAAATATATAAAATTTTATTATACAATGTAAAATTCTTTTTGTTTTACATAGATTTAAAGTCGTCGGATGAGTGAAAATAGATGTCTGAGATTAACAGTAGGAAATGTGAAGATATTCACTTGAAAAAAATAAAGAAGTCAATTTCAGCTATATATTTTCATTCATCCAATAGTCTTAAATATGTATAAAACAAAAGAGTTTTACATTATGTAAGTTAATCCTAACCCACAGGAATTGACGCATGATTTTATGTTAAGGGACAAACTTAAACTTATAAAATTTGGAGGGTGAACTTGAACTTATAAAATTTTAGAGAGTGAAAATATATTTTTAATATAAATATATAAAAAATCTAAAATATATGATAATTTTGAATTTTTATGAGTCAACCGGTCCCATCTGTCCCTACCTAGGTTCATCCGTGTGTGTATATATATATATACATATATGTGGGGGTTAAGATCCACTTACATTGTGTTAAACTATTTTAGTTTTATATTTAAAAATTATATTGAGAAAAATCAAAAGTTGATATATATATATAATGTTTCTTTTTATGAATTCACAATATTAATTATCTTTTGACTAAGTTTAGTATCACTAATTATTAATTGATCACCATCTTTTTTAAGATTCGTTATTCAAAATTTAAACTCATGATTAATAACGTTTATACATTAGATTCACATTGTAATCTGTCTAAAAAACTAGTGTGTGCGCGTGAATATATACGCTTGGAATTCCAAATCATAGCAGTTTTGTATTTTCATCTCCGGAAGTAAAAATAACAGTTTCTATTCCAAGCTGCTGCCATGACCGATTCATCCGAGTCCACCGAGTCAATGCTTGCTCAGCTCCCCATGGAAAACTTTTGGGACATTCCATTGTATCAATGGCAAGGTTTACGGTACAGATCTTATCACCTCCAAGCAACAATGGACCTCCGTTCACATTTCTCCGCCCGACACGACGATATCATCTTAGCATCCCCAATGAAAACCGGAACCACATGGCTCAAAGCCCTTTGTTTCTCCATCCTCAACGCCGCCGCTTCAGGTGGAGACAACAGAGAAACGTTAGCCAAGACAGACGAAGACCACCGTGACCCGCTCGTCGAAAACCACCCCGCCGTCTACGTTCAAACCTTGGAGGTCCAAGTTTACACTTCGAACCCGTTGCCGAACATTTCATCCATGAAATCTCCGAGGCTGTTTCACACTCACTTTCCCTACACAGCATTACCGGACTCCGTCAAAACCACCGGCTGCAAGCTTGTTTACATCGCGAGAAATCCTAAGGACACGCTCGTTTCGATGTGGCATTTCTTCAACAACCTGAGAACGCCACAACAGGGTCCGTACCCGTTCGAGAAAGCATTCGAGATGTTCATCAATGGCGTTTCCCACTTCGGGCCGTTCTTCGACCACGTTTTACAGTACTGGAACCAGAGCTTGAAAGCCCCCAACAAGGTGCTGTTTTTGAAGTACGAAGACCTTAAGGGAAACCCTATTAAAGAGGTGAAGAAACTGGCTTCGTTCATGGGAAAACCGTTTGGTGATGATAAAAAGGTGGAAGATGAGATATGGCAGTGCAGCTTGGAGAGGTTGAAGAACTTGGAAGTGAACAAAAATGGGGTGGACCCTTGGGCGGGGATGCACAACAGTGCGTATTTTAGGACTGGGATCGTTGGGGACTGGAAGAACATGATGAGCGATGAGATGAGTCAGCGTTTGGATCGAATCACTGAGTCCAAATTCAAAGGCTCTGGCCTTTGCTTTGAAATTTGAGCTCTCATCTTCTGCTTTTTTGGTTTGATTCTGCAAATGAATGTTTCTTTTTTTAATATTAGTCATGAATGTTTCTATATGCACCATTATCCTACTTTCCATTTTAATAATAAAAAAACATTAAAATGAATTAATTAGTTTTAATTTTAATATTTTATAATTTATTATTTTAAGATAAAAAAATCTCTAACATTCAATTACATAACCACTTTAACGTTTTTTTCATTTGAGGACAAAAAAATTCTTATTTTAGAATGTTGATAGTTTGTTAACTAATATAAATTAAATGACATTAGTGGTTAAGAGATAGTTGTTATCTCATGTCTCGAATTGGAGCATGACGTATGTATAGGTTTTTAAGTATTCATTATCAAATAACTTAAAGTCTTATAAACAATACTACATTAGAATTATACCAGATTAATAAAAATTAATTTATTGACTAACATTTTTTAGACACATAAATAATTTTATTCCAGATAAAATGTTGGAGGAAAAAAAAACTCCCAAAATAAGAGAGTCCTAATTTATTTATACTGGGATATACTTTTAGACACATGAATGTTTTTAAATCTATTATTAATTATATTTTTTTATTCTATCACTTTCTGAGAATGAAAGAGAGTCCTAATTTATTTATACTAGGATATACTTTCACTTTGATTCGAAAAAGAGTTTTTAATGTTGTGTTTATAGTAATATGTGATATGGGTCAATATTTTAATAATCATACTGAAAATTGAATTAATCTGATTTTTAATCTCAAGTCAGTTAATTTAGTTTATATATTTTAATATTCTTTTAATAATGATAGTTCAATCATTAATACCGTTGATATATTTCGTTAAATCGATTAGTTATATATTCCACAAGTTAAACATCTAAGGTGACGTTTGGTTCGCTGGAATGTTTATGAGGGAATTGGAATCTGTGAAAGAATTGGAATCTGACAGGAATTAGAATCTTAATCTGAAATCTGTTTGATTGAAAGGAAATTGAATTGGAATCCAATTCTATATTCTGTTTGGTTCGCAGACATGTCAAATGAATTTGATTTCAGTAATGTAAAATGACAAAATTGCCCTTTTTATTTTTTTTTGCTTAATTTTAGTTTGTTTTATAACTTACATGTAGCAATATATTATAAAAATTTTAAAAATATTAAATTTTCATTTTATTGATTAATTATTCATTTCAATAAATTATAAAAATCATGCTAATAAACATCATAAGTTAAATTCATCCCAATCAAATTATGTTAATAAATTACCAAAAGATAGAGCAATATTTCGATACATCTCAATCGAAGTATGTCAATTAGTTACAAAAAAATATACCAAAAACTTACAAGTCCAAAAAACCAATCAGCGTCCTTACAAACAACCTAATTGATTTCACAACCCTTCCAAAATGTATTTCACCTAGGCGTCTCTATCGCCTTCTTCCAATTGCAAGAAATGTGTTGGATTCGGGAGTCGATTATAATTAAGGAAGAGTTAATACCCTTGAACTGCCAATTAAAAGGTAAAAATAACGATCTCAATCACTTATCCCTGATAGATTCGGAAGTGTACCCTTAAAAGAGTCGAGAAGCATGTTAGAAAAAAAGACAATGAAGATAAATAAACTAGAGAAAAATAAAATAAATGAAAAAAGAAAAATAAGATAAAGAAAAGACATAAAAATAAAATAAAGATAAAAAACTAAATAAAATAAAGAACATAAAAAATAAAAAAATGAAGAAAAATAAATAAAATAATCAAAATAAAGATAACGAGCAAAATAAAATAAAAATAAGAATAAAATAAAGGAAAAACATAATAAATAAATAAATAACAAGAGGAAAATACAAATGAAAATAAATATAAAAATAAAACTAATATAAAAAATAAAATAAGAAAAGAATAAAAAGAATAAAAATAAAATAAGCAAAATAAAAAATAAATATATGAAAAATAATGATAAGGGTAGTATGATCAAATTTCACATTCTCTCAAAAGGATTTTAATTCCGTCATGTTATGGATAAAATTTACTTTTCCCCACTTAATGGAAAGTTGAAGTCATTTAGGATTCTAATTCCTTTTGAAAATTTGAACCAAACATGAAAAAATGTTAGAATTTGATTCTAATTCCTCCTAATTCGAGATTCCTGCGAACCAAATGTTACCTAAGAAAATTCAAACTAGATACTTTTTTACATTGTTTATCATTTAAAATATAACCACAATAATTTTGAAAGTAATAATTTTTTAGTTTTAATAAAAATTCAGAAGAAAGAAGTAATATTATATAATGAAACTTAATTGAAATGGCAACGAGGTTAGGTGGGACGGTTTTCGACTATCCCATTCCATTCCGATATATTTGACGTGAAAATTTATGCAACATATGAAATAATTTAAAATATATAAATAATTAAAGACAACAATAGATGTAACGAAAAATTATATGTAAAACAAAATAAGAAGAATCCACTAAGGTGACGTTTGGTTCGTTGAAATGTTTATGAGGGAATTTGAATCTGAGAAGAAATTGGAATCCAATTCTATATTCTGTTTGGTTGACAGGAAATAGAATTGGAATCTAATTCCATATTCTGTTTGGTTCGCATACATGTCAGATGAATTTGATTTCAATAATGTAAAATGACAGAATTGTTCTTCTTCTTTTTTTACTTTATTTTAGTTTATTTTACAACTTGTATGTAGTAATATATTATAAAAATTAAAAAATATTAAATTTTTATTTTATTGATTGATTATTCATTTTAATAAATTATAAAAATCATGCTAATAAACATCATAAGTTAAAATCATCGCAATCAAAATATGTTAATAAGTTACCAATAGATAGAGTAATATTTCGATACATTCCAATCGAAGTATGTTAATTAGTTATAAAAAATATACCAAAAACTATTTTTATTCAATATATGAATTAGAAACCCGACCCGATACGACATAAAATAATAAAAAAATTATTTTTATTTAATAAAAACATTAACTTAATTGAAAAATTATATATATAGGGGTATTATTGTAATTATTCCTAAATATATAAGGTAAAATTATATATTTTTTTGGGTTGGTCTAGTTTTTTTTCACCATAAACCTGACCTGACCTGAATATCACACTTAAAAAAACCCGACTTGACTCGACCCGAATATCACACTTAAAAAATCCGATCCGACCCGAACAAAATAAAGTTTCACCCGACCCAACCCGATATATGAATTAGAAATCCGACCTGACCCGAAATAATAAAAAATTATTTTTATTCAATAAAAACAGTGACTTAATTAATATATATATATATATATATATATATAAAGGGGTATTATTGTAATTATTCCTAAATATATAAGGTAAAATTATATATATTTTCGGGTCGGGTATTTTTCACCCTAAACCCAAACTCGACCCGACCCGACCAAAATAAAATTTCACCCAACCCGACCCAAATATATGAATTAGAAACCCTACCCAAAATAATAAAAAAAAAATTTATTCAATATATGAATAAGTTACTAAAAGATTGATGAGGGTAGTATAGTCAAATGTCAATTCCCTCCAATAAGAGAATTGAATTCCATCAATTCTTGGATGAAATTCACTTTCCCTCATTTGATGGAAAATTGAAGCCATGAGAAATTACAATTCTCTTAAAAAATTTGAATCAAACATAAAAAAATAATAGAATTAAATTTCAATTTCCTCTAATTCCAATAGATTTTATCGAACCAAACACCATTTGTATTTTTTTTGGGTAACGGATCATTTACCTTAAAATGTTGATGGTCCCGACTTACAGGCCTCACCAGAAAGGACAGTGTCATTAATGTTCTGACCCAACATGAAACTCTGCCCTGTCTTCTTGTCATAATTGCAATAATGCAATTCTTTTTTGTTTCCCCCCTTGGGTTAGGTTGACAAAATTAATTAAATAATGTGTTGATAAAAATGATACTGTCTCTATCATTATGTTGGAACCAATTTGTACCAGATTCATGGGATAGTTTAACATTCATCCGTGGGAACTAGGGGTGTGCCAATTCCCGAAATATTCGGGTCAGTGATTTTTTAGTTCGTGTCTTGACCCGAATATTACGGGTATCCGAATATTTGATTTTTTGTAAATTATTAAATAAAAAATACATAAATTTAAATATTCGAAATTTCGAATTATATAATCTAACATCAAAACAAAAAATTTAAAAATTTAAAATATAAAATCTAATAATGCTCTTCTTGAATAAAAATATTAATATAATATTTAAATTGTAAAAGCTTAGAAGTGCCCACTGGGCATAAATTATTTGCAATTTATCAAAGTGATTAATGCTCTTCTTGTACAGATTAACCAGAAATCTACCAATTACGGTCCCATTTAGTTAGTAACAACAGTTGTATCAAAGTATAATAACTCGAAACCGTTCTTTTGCAGGAATCTGTTCGAAGTGCTGTAATAACACTGTTGAGTGAATTGTTACATGACTGAGTGGCTGGAGTTGGTCGGAGCGTGGAAGGTTTCTACGGAAGTTGAGGTCGGAGTTTGGCGATTAACTTGTAACGTGGCCGTTTTGAGATATGGAGTGTGACTGCTTGTTAGGGATTTAGATTGTTTGAGGTCTGGAGCGTGCAACAAACTAAATCATTTAGTTAATATATTAAAAAAACTTAACCGGGTATTCGGGTAATCGGGTACCCGGAAAAATCAATTTTTGTGACCCGGGTCCAACCCAGATAGTGTCGGGTCGGATACCCGACCCGGCCGAATTTTTTTTTTTATAGAAAATTACCCTGTTTGTTTATTCGGTCAACGGGTCGACATGTCGGGTCAACCGGGTCGGGTAATTTTGCACACCCCTAGTGGTAACCATATATTTTAGAGACCCAAATATATTCTTTAAATCTTGAAAAATTACAACTTATAATATTTATTGGGTGGGTTCAAAGGGCTCTCATCACTTTCACAGCCGATACGAATGTCAAAACCATAACCCCTTATTAGGATAAGGTATCGTTGACTTTCCCTTATTTCAATTTTGCATCTTTAAAGACTCGTGCACTAATTGAGATTC